TAATATACATTCTTCTCAAGTGTACATTGAACATTCTCCAGACTGATCTATATTGAGCCACAAAACAAGCCTTTACAATTTAATAATCAAATGATATGACACTAGAAATCAGTGACAGGAGAAATTTTGGAATATTCACAAAATAACTGAATTTAACAATACACTCTTGCACAACCAATGGGTCAAAAGGACATAAAAAAGAAGTGAAAAAATTATCTTGAGACACAAATGAAAATGAAACCAACATACCCAAAAACTTATAAGATGTATCAAAAGCAGAGGTTAGAGGGAATTTTAAAGATAAAAGTTTACATTAAGAAAAAAGAAGATCTCCAATAAACAACTACCCGTTACACCACAAGGAACTAAAACAACAAACAAACAAACTAAACCCAATGCTAGCAGAAGCAATTAAATAATAAAGATTGTAGAGGTGAAGGTGTGGATCCTGCTTCAGTCTTCTACATGTGGCTATCTATTTTCCCAGCACCATTTATTCAATAAGGATTCTTTTCCCCCAGTGTATGTTTTGGTTGGCTTTGTCAAAGATTAAGTTGCTACATGAGTATTGGGTTTATATCTGGGTTTTTCAGTTCTGTTCCACTGGTCAATGTCCCTGTTCTTGTCCAATACCAAAGCCTAATTTAATTACTACAGCCTTGTAGCATAGTTTGAAATCTGGCAAATTGAATACTCCCATTTGTTTTTATTGCCTAGATTTGTTTGCTATATGGGGTCTTCTCTGGTTCCATAAAAATGCATAAAATATTTTTTATATCTGAAAATAATGTTGGTATTTTAATAGAGATGCATTGTTCTGTAAATCTTTGGGTAGTATAGACATTTTAAAAATGTTGATGGCCACCCACCAGCATGGTACAGTTTTCCATCTTTTATGCCCTCTGCTATTTCCTTCCTCAGTGTTTCATAGTTCTTCCTTAGAGATCTTTACCTCCTTAGTTAAATATATCCTAGATAATTTATTTTTTTTTGCTATTTGTGAAGGGTATTGAGTCTTTGATTGGGTTCAACTTTGACTGTTATTGGTGTATATGAAGGCTCTGATTTGTGTGCATTGATTTGTATCCTGAGACTTCCACTAAATTCACTTACACCTGGGTAACAGACTTAAACCTAAGGTATGAAACTATTAGAATTCTAGAGGAAAACGTTGTAAATACTCTTCTAGAATTGGCCTAGGCAAAGAATTATGAAGAAGACCCCAAAGGCAATCACAGCAACAACAAAAATAAATAAATGAGACCTGATCAACTAAAAAGCTTCTGCACAGCCAAAGAAACGGTCATATGAGCAACACCAGACAGACCTACAGAATGGAGAAACTTTGCATGCTAACATCCTGATAGGGGCTTGTAACTAGAATCTATTTAGAACTCAGGAAAATCAGCGAAGAAAATCAACAACAACCTATCAAAAGTGGCAGCAGGACAGTGAAACAGAACTTTTCAAAGAGGACACATAATGGCCAACCAAACATATGAAAATGCTCAACATCTCTATCACAACATCTCAACATCACCTATCTCCAGTGAGAATGGGCTATTATAAAAAGTTTCAAAACAATAATGTGGCGTGGATGCGGAGAGATAAGAACACTCCATACACTGCTGTGGAGACTGCAAATCATGCATCCTCTGTGGAAAGCAATATGGAGATATCTTGAACGACATCAAGTAGATGTACATTTGGATCCAGCAATTACTGGGCATCACCCAAAAGAACAAAAGACATCTATAGAAAGACACTTGCACTCAAATGTTTATAGAAGCACAATTCAACACTTGCAAAGATGTGGAAACAACCAAGTGCCCATCAATACATGAGTGGATTAATAAATTGTTTATATGTATACCCATGGAGTACTATTCAGCTATAAGAAACAATGTGATATAGCACCTGTTGTATTTTCCTGGATAGAGCTGGAACCCATTCTACTAAGTGAAGTATCCCAAGAATGGAAAACAAGCACCACATGTCTACACCAGCAAATTGTATTAACTGATCAAACACCTAGGTGGACATATAGGAATAACATTTATCAGCTGTTGGGCAAGATGGGAAGGGGAGGAGGGAATGGGTATATCACACTACACTAATAAATGCGATGCACACCGTCTGGGGGGTGGTCCATGCTTGAAGATCGACCTATAAGGGGGGGCAAGGGCAATATACGTAACTTAACCATTTGTCCCCCATAATATGCTGAAGTAAAACAAAGTAAAAAATGATAAAGATTGTAAGCAAAACTAAATAGAGACTAAAAAGACAATCAGGTAAGCCAACAAAACTTAGAGTGGTTTTTGAAAAGATGAAGAATTGGCAGTCTTTTGCCAGACTAAGAAAAAGAGAGAAGAGGACTGACACATATAGAGGAAAGAGATTAGACAACTGGTATTCACAGAAATACAAAAAACTCATAAGTGTCAACTATGAACAATTATATACCAACAAGTTGGGTAACCTAGAAGGGATGGATAAATTCCTAGAATATGCAACCTACCAAGATGAAATCAGAGAAATGTTTTCAAGAGAAAAATATCATCAAATATAGGTTTTTTCTTCTTTTTTCTTTTTTATTCGCGACTATTATGGGGTACAGATTTTAAAGTTTCAATAAATGCCCTTCCCCCCTCCCCCCATAAGTCTGAGTCTCCAGCGTGACCATCCCTCAGATGTGCGTCCTATCACTCGTTATGTGTCTTTCCATTATTCAGCAATATGCTTCCTGGTTTACCCTTAGTTCATAAAGCTTATAGTTTAAAAATAAATACATCAACAGAACAAGACTAAATATGAGAAAATAGAAAATGCTGAACAGACCAATAGTGAGTAAGGAGATTGAAGCAGTATCAAAAACTTGACGCAAAGAACAAAAGCCCAGCTACAGATGACTCTTCAGGGAATTCTATGAAGCACCTTAAAGAAGGATTGAAATGCCATTCTTAAACTCTTCAAAAAATTGAAAAGGAGGAACATTTCCCAACCCTACTTAATATTTCAGAAGACCAGGTATGACATGCACACAAAAGCCAAAAAACAACTATGCTAGTAAGGCCAAAGAAAAGAGGGGGCGCGAGCAAGATGGTGCCGGACGAATAACACCGCCAGACAGAGGGTCCCTGCAGAAAAACAGATTCTCAGCGCAGAAATTAGAGAAAAGAAGCCCAAGAACGAGCATACACGGACAGGGCCGAAGAGGGTACCTGAGACCCCGGAGAATCCACGGAGAGCTGCGCAGGAGAAGCTGGAGCTGAGACCACCGGGAAGCGGCCCAGCGGCAAGGGTAGTGATTGCTGTTCCCCTCCCCT